CGTCAGGGGAGACCTTCGGGTACCAAGCTCCGCTGCCTGCGCACCCATGGCTTCCACCCAAAACCAAGGTCCCAGCCCAGCGACCTCCCCTTTCCGGGGCCACCAGCAGGCTGGAGATGTCCGGGGAGAAGCCAAGCAGAGGGAGGAAAGATGAAGGAAGTTCACTTTATCTTCAAGAAGAGTCACAAACCGGCCCTTACGCGCAGGCACACGCAAACACCTAAGCGTCCTCGCGTCCTCCACTTTCCCGAAGGGAAACGAGACAGGGCTCAGCGACGTGCCAGTGCTGGGACAGCCCAGGTGGGAAGGAACAGAGCTACGTTTTACAGGCACCATGGGGTCTGCAAAACAGGCACGATGCCCCTTCCTGACCCACACATGCTGCACGTACTAGGAGATACCTACTGCCAGCTCCCAACCCTGCCACATTCAAGCTTATTCCTTAAAGTCCCAGCTCCTGAAAGCATAGAAATAATGAGAACTGTAGCTTCCAATTAAAAAAAAAAGTTTCACACCCTTACATTTGTGGAGAAATGCTTGAAAACAACCCACAGATGCCAGAAGAAACAGAGCGCAAACAAAGTGTATTTTTAAACTCGCTTGATTTTCCAGCCAAGTTCGGGGGGTTTCAGGAGCGAACCCGTGGTTTTGGAATAAGGTCAGCAACGGAGAGAAACACAGCACGGATTTGAACCCACAATCTCACAAAACCCAAAGCTCCCAAAACTGGGGACACCTTGCAGGGAGAGGGGAAAAACACAACAACTAATCAACAGGCTCTGTCACCAAATTGGATCCAGGAAAAATAAGAGTATATTGTGTGCCAGGAGGCAAGAATACAAGATGTGGAGGTGGAGTTGAACGCATCCCAAAGGGAAGAGGGAAGACTGCCATCACGTAAAGACAGTGCCATCGCGAGGCTCCCCCGAACGGCTGAAGATGACTGCACCAAGGCTGGGAAGACCCTCGCTAAGCTCCGGCTTGCCATTCCTCCTGCGCCAACAGGAGGGAAGCGAGGACATAACTAGGCAGCACACAAGAGCCGGCTGAAGCACAGGAGCTACCAAGACGGGAGGATATCTCCAACAAGGAGGGGGCGCTCACTGAAGCGGGATGTTTCCTACGGGACAGATGCCACGTGAGCCTGCCGAGAAGGACGCGGCCATGGCAAAGCAAGTTTCCAAATGCACGAACCCCTTGCCCCAGTTTATAGCAGGAATAAACACTGGCCTTGGGGCATTTGGACGATTGCGAGGAGGACCTGGAAACTCTGCCCTGTCCAACCTTACAGAGGGGGACGGTGCTTTTCGCAAGGGGCGAGGGAACAAAAGCTCAAGGTTGAGGGGGGAGCTGAGCCTCGACTCCCACGACCTGGAGCCGAGAAGGAAAGGACGCTCTGCCCGCCGATGCCCGTCCGAGAGAGGGGTC